AATTTAGATGAACCCTCTCCAGGGAGATGGTGGGCATCTCCTCACCCGGGGCAGAAGCCAGACAGACACCTGTCTGGGATGTGCTCACTTGCAGCAGCAGCAACCTAAATGGCTCCTTTCATCAGTGATTTGTAAGCTACACTTTTATTGATGTGGTTTAAAATTACATACACATTTTTAAATTTATTAGATTATTCCATGTCTACCAAAACCTCCTGGTAATTTATAATAAAAGCATAAGAAGCCATTATGCTAGAACAATTGCAATCTCTCATAGCGAAATTCCTGTTGAAAAAGATAAGCTCTGAAGGTCAACTGCAGAGGGGCACATTCCGAAGTGGGGCAGAAAACTCAGCCTGAGTCACCTGCAGGAAGTCCAGGCAAAGTTCAGGAGGACCAGGACGGGAAGGGGTCCTCCTCCTCCTCCAAGCCCTCTGGAGCTCTCAAAAGCATCACCAGCCCTTTGTCTCTTGTCTGAAACAGTTTGAGGGGCCAATGTGGTTTCTGCACAGGCCGACCGACTTAGGCTTCTGGACTAGACACAAACACTCTCAAGTAGAACCAGTTAGAACAATCTCACACGAAGCTTTTAGCAGCAGATTCTCCATTTTAAAGCCACTTTCTTCCAAGAAAGGAGACATATCAACAGAGTCTATTAGGAAGAGTCATGATCTCAAAACTGGAAAAGCAGAGAAAGGCCCACACCTTGAAGGACATCTACAGAGCTGGTTTTTCCAAGAGAAAGACAGATTTCCATGATCCCAATATTTATGTGTCTACATTTCCCTCTAGGAAATTCCAGGCTTTTCTTGTGGAAATTTTCTCCTTCAGAAGACAGAAAATGTGAGGGAATCCTCAATCTTGGACCTGATTAGGCAACAAAGAGAAGATAGAAGATACTTGGGGAAAAAGGAGTAGCAGGAACCCTGGAGGAAAAGGACACTTCCTGTAATAGTCCTGATCTGAAGCAAAACTGAACCTCTTTCTTGGGCTTCACCCAGGCTGATCTGAACAAACTCTGAGCAGTGAGCAAACACGGACAACAAAAGGAGCCAAGCAGAAGGAGAGTTTCTCCACCAGAATGTATTAATAGCACAATTGCAAATAATTCCAAAGAGAAAACAAGGAAGAATACTAGTCAATGTGGCTGCAGAAGAGATTAACAAACATTTTAAGGCAACAAAGAAATGAATACACCAGCTTTTCCTGGAAGGTGACAAAAGGGTTAGCAGGTAACTAGGCACAGGCTGGAACTCCTATACTGCTGCCTCCACTTCGTTCCTGGGTCTGGGACAACTCACCACCCCCAACTTGCCGTGGAACAAATTGTTGGGGGTCAATTCAACACTGTATTAATAATTTCCTTCAGTTACTTTTATAATTGGTGACTACATTTTCATCAAAATTATTATAAATCTTGTATTTCTGGATTGACTTTATTTTATTATCATTGGCCACCGTTCTGTCAAAATTAATGTAACTTTTGTATTAGTTGAATTGTCCCGCGGTGAGTTGTCCCCTTGCATTTCTGAAAGCCCAGCCGAATCTTTCTCTATCATTTCTGAGAATAAATGAAGTCCTTGACTTACAGAGACCCCACACGGCTCCACGGTCTGCTTCTGTCACTCCCCTTTGGGAGGCGACTTCGAGGTATCTCTAGCAGGACAAACAGATTCTGGAAGGGCTTTGTTCCCTCTGCCATCCCTCTCGTTTCTCTCGCCATGTACATGTATCCGTCTGGACTAGGCAATGTTGTTTCTCTGTGTCACATAATATATGTGGGTATATGCATAATTTTTTATTTATTTATTTTGTCATGTTTATGTAGCGTATATTGGAGGTGGTGGGGAGGGGAAACTATCAGCGGGACAGGCAGCTGGTGGGGTTCGCTTCAACCTCTGGGGCTTTATGGGGAAGCCCTTAATTTTACAGCTCACATGACATGACCTCCGGCATAGGCTGTGGATTTAAAATCTTTTCCTCAGGATGCAAAACAGTCTCTGGGACTCAGCCTGGTTGGTCCTACTAGGGAGGTTTGAGTGCAGATCTCGGGTTTCAGGCCTGCCCTTTCCGCCTTTGAAGAATCCGCATCCCCAACAAACGGCCACCAGGGAGCCTTTTCTAGCCTGCCTGCCTCTGGCCACGGTGGGCTTCCTTCTTTCCTCCAAGGCATCCTCTTCAGGGCAGAGTCCTCCTGCTTCTCAGTGGGGAATCCCCCCGCAGGACTGAGGGACTCGGACACACCTGTCCTGGCCTTTCTGACCTGGAGATGAGCAAGGCCGGCCTTTAGGCTCCACCTTAACTTCGCTCAACAGAACGAAAGGTATCTTGAAGACCAAAGAAGTAGAAAAGCACCTGCATCCAATCCTGCTGGACCCTCATCCTTCGGCCCCAGAAATGATCCCCCTTTTCTCCCTCTGACTTGCTTCTTCCAGACATTCCCTGAGTCCGGCCCTTGCAGGGCGTAGCTGCTTTAGGTCAGTGTTAAACCTGGGGAGGGGGTCATGGTGAAGGAGCTGCCTGGGAACCTCCTGGACTACACTTCCCATACGCTTCTGCAGAGATGCATCCTGGCTTCTCCCAGAAGCTGCCACAAACGAGCCTGTGCCCTGCTCCCGTGGCCAGGAGGGCATCTGCTCTGAGGCAGGCGAGAGCAATAAGCTGCTCAAAGGGCCTTTGAGGACCACAGCCAACCCAGAGATCCATCTGAGGGGCCTCTGGTTCTTGGGGGGCCTGAAATTCTCAAAACGCTCATTGTTCTTCACCAGTTCTTTTGGGTGGCTGGGATGCAACCCTGGCATGGCTGGGTCTCTTCAAATGTGCATTTCTCCAGCCTTTCTTAATCTCCACACAGCTTTTCAGCATTGAGGCAGCTTCTGCTGATCTTTGCTGGAATCTTTTGATGTCTTCCATGTACTTTCTGCTGGAGTTGTTTGCAATTGAGGGATTCTAAGAAGACTCCTTGGCAGGATCTCCCAGCCTTTTCTCCTCAACCATCTCAAGTCACTGGAACTGACCTGCTTGGCATCCTAATTTCCTTTTATGCAATCTGCATACAAGCCTGGCTCTCCTCCTCCTCTTCATATCATGAACTCCAGAATACCTTTCTCCCAAAGTATCAGTCACCTTCTTTCCTTTTCCCAGTTCTTCCCTGTTGCTAAAGATTAGACGCAGCAGAACCCTCTGTTCCTTCTTCCGCCTTCTGACAAATGGAGCTGTCATTAAAAGAGGTTAGGAATCCATTGGCAAGAAGCCCTGGAAGGCTACAGCTTACTCAGGAGGAGAGAAACGAGGGGAAACGTTGTAGTGTATGTAAAGGAGAAGATACACTTGTACAGAAATTCACAAATCAGAGCATGATGACGGTTGTGTGTAACAACAAAAGGAAGGAGAAGTGTACTTGACATTGTTGTAGGACCTTATTGTAAACTACCTGGCCAGGTAGAGCATTTGGGTGAGGCTGCTCCATGTCATTTATTTAACATGTGGCAAATACATGCACTTCTAGTGGTTCAAATGTTAATGTCCAGTCCACCCAACCATTCAAGGACAGGGTGGTGTAATCAGACATTGGGCCGGCCTAAGCTCTTGATGGACATTCGGACACAAGGTGGTGGATATTTTGTTGAGGAGCACCACACACACTGATGGGTAGAGACAAAACCCCACTTAAACAATGAGTCCTGGCAGACACCACACTGGATGCGGATCCTGTTCAGAGTTGACAAAGCTGGCAAGGAAGATCAAAACCTGGCACATTCTGTGTGGGGTCATCTACGTCACTGCCTGTGTCTCAGCATCCAGCAGCCCATTTGGCTTTCCACTGTGTGTTGACTTCAAAATTGTTAGGCAGCTATTGAGCGAGTGCCAGGGGGGACTTCCTGGATTTAAGCCTGCCAATTGATAGATGAAGAAGATCAGTGTGCACAGGAAGAAGTGGGTTTCTCATAATTTTGTTGTATTCCTTCATTCCTGTCCCATGTAAAATTACCAGACTTTCAAAGAGGCACAAGTAATTATGGGTGGGGGGAGAGGGAGTTCATCCATCTCAATATATGTTGGGAACCTAACTCTGCCAAGTGTGCCGTCAAGTTCCGGTGATGCCCATGATGCCATATTTTTCCTCCAGGGTTAATGTTCCAGGTTCTCCCTGTCTGCTCCCCTATTCAGGGCTCTGATCTAGTAACATCTAAGATTGTGAGAGACACAACCACTGCCGCTGCCACCACTGCCACCCGCCTACCTGCCTCTGGCTCCTCTGGGCTTCTTATTCTCGAGCTGCCGCTTATTCCAACCAATGAGAGATTGGGCATTTTTCCTTATTCCATTTATGTCACAGACTTTTTCTATTGCTTTGCAGAAGCTTCTGCAA